GAGAAAGCAGAAATAATTTCTGGAGTTTTGTCCCTGCTGCCATGCATGTGAGCTCCCCAACCGTTGCGTTTTCTGCTGTTTGATTACTCAGCTGTGACAGCACAGGAATCATTTGCTAGACCTGGAAGAACAAAATGCACTTAGTCTTTTCAAACATGGAAATAAATTATATACAAGTGTTCGTGCTTGAGCGAGAGGTCAGTGCTTTTCAGCTTTTCTTAGCAAAGTGGTTTGCACATCAGGTGGTGGTTACAAAGTCTATTCTTTGGTCTCAAGTTCTTGAGCTAATAAGAAAGATGCAGTCTGTTGAAAGCAGTAAGTTTATAGAAAGCTTTCATTATTTTATGCAACTCGCCTTTTTTGCCATATTCTGAAGGCAGTTTTAAGAAGTACTTCGTAACTGAATACAATATTTCAGTACAGATCAGTTACAGGGATTTTCCTGGTTATGATTACATGAACAGTCTTGTTTTTAAATTGCAAAGACTTAGTGCCATGGCAATTGTTTGTTCCAGGTACTGCCTTTATTTGAAGACACTGAAATTCCCCTGACTCAGGAGAGCCAGGATTGCACAAGCAACACCTGTTTACTTTTCAGCAAATACCAGTTGCTGAATGTTGAGCATTTTCCTTCATGCTTTTAGGACTTGAAAAAGTTGTTCTCCTGGTTATAGCAGGATTCATTGTTTCGGATGGGGAGAGGCCCTCCTATTGGCTTGTGATCTGGACAAGGCTTGTGATCTGTCTAGACTTACATATATTACTATATCACACTATAGGCTATAATTCAGTTTCAGCAGATCCATCCAGCTATGGCATGCTTGAATTTGTTCTGTTGATCTCTCTTATTTTCTTTCATTTCTTAATAAAGTATTTACTGTTACCTCACATGAAGGTTTTCTGTGTCAGTGGCGTGGTGCACAAAGAGCACTTGGGGGGCAGTATGTACTGTCATACTGAGGCTGTTGTAAAGGAAGGGTTTGATTTCAGATGTGAGATTATTTAGGTCTCTTGGAGTGTCATCTTGTTTATATCATGAAAGCTGCTTTCACCTAGGAAATTTTACAAGTTGGCATCCAGAAACATGCTTGGCATCTATTGATTTGCATATTACTAAGTGTTTCATCCCTGTTCTGTAGAGAAAGGTACCAGAGAGCAGATAACACACAACTTAAAAGGACTAATGATTTTATTTTCTGCTCTCCGGGTGCAGGTGTCCCTGGCTCCATGCCCAACGCAATGTGGGAAGGTGACCTGAGAGCTGTCAAGTGGGTTGATATGGAAGAGAGGCACGGAGGATGTCATGGTAATGTGTACATTTTTCCCGCACATCTTCTTCCTGTTCATGCAGTCGAAAACAGTTAACTGTTTTTCCTTTAGTCTTACAGCCTCTAATCATAATATAAGAGCATCTGTAGAACTTCACAGGGGGTAAGACATGAAAAAGGAGTCACCTCCTGCATAGTCTTTACACAGTGAGTGATAATAGCCAAATAAAATAAACAGTGAGGAAGGTGGAAGAGTTCCTTCCTCATCAGAAACTTCTACAGAACATATCAGCCTTGGGAAGGGAGGATATTTGGCAACTTAAGTTTCACAAGAGCTAGTTGACAGTTGTAGGCCGTGGGTGATTTTCTTGTAGGTGGATGGGAATAGCCCAGGTGTTCATAGCCCTGGGATCCAGAACCTGTAGAGCCAACAGCCCTATAAACAACCCACAGCTCTCAACCTTGGCTCCAGGTAGAACCAGAAGGGACAGAAAACCGAGGAACTCACAGCTCAAGGAAGTGCTGCTCCTGTTTGCCCTCGGGCCTTCTTTGCCAAGAGCAGTCGCCTTCTTTTAATACAGGGGTGGCTGCACAGGTCCCAGAGCAAGAGCGGTCAAGTCCATTTGATATAGTTGAGTTGAGGAGAAAAGTTTTGAGGGTTTTAGTCAGGTCCAAGTAATAGCAGTTTCACCTCAGCACAGAAGTTTGTGAAACTGCTCCAGGATCAACCAGAAGTATTCAATGGAAAATCTAGTATAAGTATCAGTTTCTTTTCCCTGACAGAAGGAATTTTCATCGTCTTACAAAGAGTCTCAATGAATAGCATGTCCTTTCTGATCTGTCTCCTTATTCAAAAATTTTGCCCATTATTTATTCCTCAGTAGCTTTCTTGATTTCACCCCAGAGGTATTCCCATTGTTCATCCAATGTGCTTTTTATTTTTTGCATTTTTATTGGTGTAGGAGATTATTTATAGTTGCTTTGGAGATCAGACTTTTTAAAAAGAATAATTTGGATTCTAGAGGGTGCCTATGGGAAAAAAGTGCATTTTGACATAGTTTTTTTCTTTTTTTTTCTTTTTTCTTCTCTCTTTGGCAGGTCATTATGTTAGAGACATTTGTGTGTATGGAACAGGTGACCTCAAGTGGCTTTTTAATTCTTCCTGTTTGTTTGCGAATAAGTTTGAGCTCAGAACATACCCACTTACTGTGGAGTGTCTGGAACTGAGACATCGGAAG